AGGGCGCCGGCCGAGGGGCGGGGCCTCCAGCGCCCCAGCGCCCCGGCGCCCCGGCTCCTCCGCGTCCTTATCGTCCTCCACGCCCGCCCGGGCGGCCGCAGCCCCTCCGGCCATTGTTCCGAGGCTGCCGGGGGTTGGATCCCGGTGCTGACCTGCGGGCTGCCCCTTGGTCTCCGCCTCCGGTCTTTCCTCTCTGAACACCAGGCCCCCGCCGGCCCCCGGCCGCCTGCTCAGGGCTGCAGTGGGGCCGCGAGGTGGGCGCCGAGCTGTGAGAGCCCTCTGTCCTCACCGGGGCGTCGAGGTCATCCTGCGAGCTCAGATCCGGGTGGGGCCCCTCCGGCGGGCGGCCAGGGCGCGGAGGCCAGCAACTCCGGAGCGAGGCTGAGCCCTGCTCTCCTCGCGAGCTCCCGGACCCCCAGCCGCTCCTCCTCGCAGGCCGACCACCTTTGCTTCCTAGTCCGGCGACGCCATCCGGCTAGGACTCGCGCTCGCGCCCCCTGGCGCCACGAGACTCTCCGCATCCGCGTCCTCCCTGCCTACGAAGGCCCCCTTTCCTGGGTGAGGGCTCCTTGAACCCGGGGAGCTGCGGCAACCCCCAGACGCTGGCCTTATGCTTCCCGTGAACCTGCAGTGCCTACCTGGGGAGGCAGTTTGTCCGTCTTTCTCCCTCCTGGGAAGAAGCAGTGGGTCTTGAGATCTCTCTCCGCTCCAAACTGCCTCAGGAAACTCAAACTTCCATCACCCTAGTTGTCAGACAATGGTGAGGTCAGGGACCAGGGTGGACTCAGATCCACAATCAGAAATCTGTGCTTGTCATTAAAGCGGTAGGAGATTGTGCTTGTGGAGAGAAGCTGCCTCCAGTTTGCCTTGTTTTAATTCTTCTGCCCAGTGAATGCCAGGGGAACTAAAAAGTGGAGGAAAACCAGAAATCTTTCATAATAACTAAAGGTGTTTGCCTCCATTGGGTTCTCCTTTAAGTCAAGCTCCAAGTTAAGTTCAGCCAGACTGAGGAGGACGAGGGCTCTGAAGAGCTAGGTATTTTTGTAAATACCATGGAGGTCTCAGCAAAAGTCCAAACATAATTCCATTTTTTTAAAAAAAGATTTAAACTTCCTATATCTCATCAGGAATTAAATATAACTTAATTTATTAATCTCTCTTGCCTTGCCTTTGAGGAGAAAGAAATGTAATGAATAAGCTATTGTTCACATGTTGGCAGACAGGAAAACAGCAGTTAAAGATACCATGGAACACCAACTGTAAGACCAGAGTTTTGATAACCAATATTTGCTAATGTTGATCACCTAGAATGAACTACAACATGTGTTTCTATGAAAGATATAAAAACAGCCATATTTCGCTGAGATTTTTGCTATGGGGCATGTGCTCTTGTTGGAGAGACAGAGAAAGAAAGTGAGAAATCACCCTCCAGGGAGGATGGCCAGGCAGCAATCACTTCTCTGGGATTTTGGGCACGCATGCACACATGCCCAGTGTGTTTTAAGCCGCCGGTCCAGGACTTGAACTGCAGTCGGCTGACTATGTGGCGGTCCAGCGACAGAACCATCATGCCATCTGCTGGTCCTGTCACATTTCCCCTTTCAACCTTTCACCCAACTATCATGGCGGAGTTTCTATAAGCTGTCTGAGAAGGGACAACCCAGGTAAAGAACATCTTTGAGAAACTGGTATCTCTGGTGTCATCTGTCAACCCCTTCAAAGTATCTGTGTGGCTAGACAGGCTCCACCTCCACCCAACCTCCTATCCATGTCAATCACAATTTCCTAGTGGTAATGGACACAATGACAGATCAACCGGTGGCTGGATCATTATGTACCACTAATCTTTTCTTAGTAGGGGGGGCAGGCAAAAGTCAAAAGTCATGAGTTTCGAGACTCCCTCCCAATACCCCATATTTGTTGTCTTTTTTTCGTGAAAGAGACAGACAAGCGTACTCCACAGGGTCTTACACCATGATCCACTCTCATTCCCTCCACTCCCCCAGGCCTTCCCAGCCAGCAAGAATCACAGATGTTCGCACCCAGTGTGTGTTGGTTCACTGGGGGAACTAAACCAGTGGATCTAGCTTCACTTGAGTGATGTAGTAGCTGCTGTGCTGAGTCAACCCAGCATCCCATGCTTTATTTACTTATACCCAACACTTACTTATTTCTGTTATGGACTGAACAATTGTGTTCAATCCTCCCCACCCTCTATTCATATGCTGAAGCCCTAGCTTCTAATGTGATGGTTATTTGGAGGTAGGGCCTTTTGGAGGTAATTCGGTCTATGTTAGGTACTGAGGGTAGGAACTTCATTAGTGCTCCAATAGGAAGAGGAAGAGAGAGAAAGAACTCTTTCCTTTATCATAGAGGATTGGTCATGTGAGTGCTCAGCAAGAGGGCAACTGTCTACCAGCCTGGAACCAGGTCCTGACCAGACGCCAAATCTGCTGGCATCTTGATCTGGGATTTCCCAGAACTGAAAGAAAAAAATGTCTTATGTTTAAACCATCTTGTCTATGGCATTTTGTTAGAGCAGTCTTAGAAGACAAGACAATTTCTTAAAGGTTCTTAGAGAAGATTCCATAGCTTTCTCTCACCTATTATTTAAAAGAGTGCAAACTTCTGTATATTTTGTGATTTCAAAGTTAGTTTTGATATTTTTATGATTTCATGTTTTCAGTTAAGGTAATTCATAAATGCTCAGTTATACATAATATGATTTTTATTCCTTTAATATTTTAACATAAATTAACCATACCAGGAGGAGTTATTAAACTTAGGACCTGGAAAATGCTGTGCTTTGGATGTAATGGTCAGATGGATTTGTGTTCACCTGCGCTGATCACCAGCTGACCCGAGTAGGAAGCCAGGCCGCCAGTAAAACATGATCGGGAGAGTCGATTATGTGGTCACTGAGGAAGAGATCAATCTTACCAGAGAACCCTCGAGGCTGGGCTTCAACGTCGTCAGTGGGACAGATCAGCAGTGTGTCCAATGACAGTGGCATCTACGTCAGCTGTATCAAAGAGATGGGGCTGTGGCCCTGGATGGGTGGCTCCAGGAGGGTGATATCCTTTTGGTCAATGGCCAAAACCTAAAGAACCTGCTGCACCAGGATGCTGTCGACCACTTTCGTAAGGCAGGCTATGCTGTGTCCCTGAGAGTGCAGCACAGGTTACAGATGCAGAATGGACTTGCAGGACATGGAGAAGAAGAGAGCCACATGGTACTCCCATAGCAGTGGTATTGGTGCCGCTGTTTATGCTCACCATGGTGGCAGCCTGGGCCTTCATGAGATACTGGCCACAACTCTGAAAAGATTGCTTGCTTCTAGTGCGTCCAGTGAAGATACATTTCACCCACCCTCTTCCCCTGCGATTCCCCCATATCCTTTCCTCTCTGCAGAGCCAACATGTGATTTAAAGTGACTGATCCCTGCCCAGAACCCTGCTGTTTGGATCTCTAAATCTTCATATTCTAATGGAAGAGTAAAGGTATCATTTGAAGGAAAACAGAAGAAAAGACTTAGAAAAAATAAGAAATGATCTCTTCTACCAAAACTGCTAATAGAAATTCAGGTACCACCCAACGAGGGAAAGGTCCAGTGTTCCTGTCACCGTGGGTGACACATTTTGTTTTTTCTTAGCCTTAAAAGCCAGCTGTGGGACCAGTTAGCATAATGGCTATGTCGCTGAGCTCCCATTTAGCCGACCGGAGATCGAGTCCCAGGCCCGGTGGCTTAAACTCATGCTGGGCGCGTGTGCATGTGTGCCCAAGATCTCGAGAGGAGAATGGAGGAGAAGAGATTGTGGCGTGGCCATCCCCCCTGGGGGGTGATTTCTCACTTCTATCTCTCTGTCTCTCTCTGTCTTTCTGGCGAGCGCATGTGCCCTATAGCAAAAATCCCTCCAAAAGCCAGCTGTGTTATATGAAAGGAGGAGAGGATTTTTCTTTTTGATAATCTTCCTTGAGACGTTTTTGTGGCCTTTAATTAATTTGTAACTACATACCTGGGTGCCTATATCAGACAAAGGAGAACAAGAAGAACATGTTTAGTTTTTTAAAAAAGAAAACACATTGGGACCAGCAGTTAGTGTAATGGCTGTGTTGCTGGACTCCCATGTAGTCGACTACAGTTCAAGTCCTTGACCCAGTGGCTTAAACTCACGCTGGGCGCATTTGCGTGCATGCCCAAGATCCTGAGAGGAGAATGGAGAAGGGATGGCGGTGTGGTCATCCCGCCTGGGGGGGTAATTCCTCGCTTTCTGTCTCTCTGTCTCTCTCTTTCTGGCGAATGCATGCGCCTTATAGCAAAAACCTCTCCAAAAAAAAAAAAAAAAAGCAAACACACACATATATATCCACGAAGTATAACAGTGATGCCTAATGGAAAATTAAAGAGATGAGAAAGTTAAAAAAACAAACAATTTAGGACTCAAGCCCATAGAATAATGATTATATACAAATTAAGCAAAGTAAGCATAACCATATACAATGAATTCTTTTTTAAATAATTATTTTATTTAGCTTTATTATTATTATTTTATTATTGAACTTGACCAGAGAGACAGAGAGAGGGGAAAGTGAGATAGCAAGCTGCCAGATCCTGAACTTGAACTGCAGTCAGTCATGTGGGAGCCCAGAACCTTTAACCACCATGCCACGTGCCAGCCCCACTAATTCTCAATGGTATACAGAGAAAGTGATTTTTTTTTCATGGTGTTTTATTTTTTTTTCAATTTATTTCCATTCATTCACTGTACATCATTACAGCATATAAAATGAGATTTTCCATCCAGAGTACACTTTATATTGTCTCAATCAAGCACATCAACAAACATGTTATTGTCAGCAAATAATCTTCCATTTCTTGTTTTCTGTATGTTTTGCTTTTGTTCCCCCCATCCTTGATTCCTTATCTCTTAGCCTCTGCCATCTCACACTCTCCTCCCTCACTGTCTCTGGTATCTATGTTTGCTTTCTATACTGTTTTCCCTCCACATTTTATTGAATCACCAAAGA